GTTAGGAATTTAATATATCTTACTTTCCTGCTAAGTAAGAAACCAGTGTTCCCCCCTCACTATTATTTCTTCATCTCTGGCTCCCAGTTCAAGCCCAGAAACGAAGCCGAGACCATTCACGTTCTGCCAGTGCTGTCAGTCTCAGTGGTGGGGATGAAAAATCTGAGCATTCGGAGACCGCTGATCAGCATTTGTCATATTACAGCAATGGAGGCTTCTTTCCTACAACTACAACAGGTAAACACATAAATAAATTAATATGTGTATGTATGCATGTATGTATGTATGTATGTATGGATGTCCAAATGCAAAATAGAAGTAGAGGAGAGGAGTTTCAGTTTTAGTTTCACAGCTCTAAGCAGCTTTAGTACAGAACAGTTGAGCTAAGCCATGCCCAGGCTCCTTGCTGTCTCCTTCTTGCTCACACAGCAAATACTGTTTCACTTTCCAAACAGCCCACAAATCTCTCACACACTGACAGGACGCTAGCTAGATTAATACCAATGGGTGCTGGTAGGCAGAGGCAGAATTTTTCCCCCTTATTTTCCTCCCCAAAAACTAAGGCCGACCACATAGTTTTGTGTAATAAACTGAATTGAATTGAATTGATACAGAAGGGTTGGTTATAGCATGATACCACCTTCTTCAGAATGTAACATATAATGACCAAAATTTATTTAAAGTACAATACCAGAGTGATTCTTTTCAATCAAGTACTAAAAAGTAGCAACACTTGCATGCCCAAAAGAAGAAAAAATGTTAGTATCATCTGTGGGCAAATATTCTTTTACATTTTTTTTGACAAAGAGATGTTCTTACAATAAATATATCAGTGCTATATTAATGTATAGCCTCAACCACTGACAAAATTTGAAAAAAAACATACCCAGTGTTCAAACACCATTTAACCATGTATTTTAAAAACATACTAGGGTGGGTTTTTTTGTTTGTTTTTTGCTTCTTCTGATATATTTCAACTTCATTTCCTTCGTTAGTGGATTACAAACATGCCAAAACTGTAGAGCTGCCACAACAAAGATCATCATCTGTTGCGACTCAACAGACTACAGTATCTTCCATCCCCTCTCATCCATCTACTGCAGGGGTAAGCAAATCTGACAAAAGTATCTATAAAAACGGTGTTTTCTGCAGGCAGAAGGTATTTCTGAATTGAGCCTGTGTACAAGTGAGTCCACCACAAGCCAATGACCTCATCAAAATGGTGGAGCCTGATTCATGACATCAAGCTTTGCTCCTTACATGCTTACATATTTAAGGTCTTGATGGCAAACTGTAATGGGGAAGAAACTTGGATTAAGTTATGTTACATTTTATCATTAACTCATCATTATCTGCCCGGTGTTTGAAGGGCTGCCATTTCTTAGGAGAAAAATAAAACCTTCATATGTCTGAATGGATGGTCATCTTTGGGATGAATATTTATTCATTTGAGGGACTGAGGTGTATTAATGTGTTTGGGAAGGAGGTCTTTATATTCAAAGTTTCACAGAAGTGTTAAATTGATGGTTCCCGTACTCTTGTGTTTATGCTAGTAACATTTGGGCATTATTTTTCTCTCTAATATGACAATAGAAGACTTATCGTGCTATGTATGACTACATAGCAGCGGATGCTGATGAAGTCTCTTTCAAAGATGGTGATGCAATTGTCAACGTCCAAGCCATCGATGAAGGATGGATGTATGGAACTGTGCAAAGAACAGGCAAAACCGGCATGCTTCCAGCCAACTACGTAGAAGCAGTTTAAATGGAGGAGACTCACACTGACATGGACAATAAGAAGGCCCTTTATGCCACATCAGTTCAGTACAATCCATAAGTCGCCAAAGAGCCTTATTATTTTCTCTCTCTTGATACATGTGAAGAATTGTCTGACATCTATAACTTTCAGGAAACATTATCAATCCTAGTTTAACTAGGTGTTTAAGAGAGTTTTGGGTACCCGAAATTCAGGATGTCATCCCTCTTTTAATCCATCTGAATTTGCACGATTCAGTTTACTTTCATGAATCATTGAATTATATTTGTTGACGTGGTTTTTCTTCTCAAGAGATGCAGTGATCACAGACAATAAACACAGCCGAATGTATCCATGTCTGTTTCTAGTGTACAACACCTTAAACTAGTTAAAAGTGGAAAGCCTCTCTTCTGCTCTACTTAAGAGAATGCTGATGTGATGCATGCATTTTTAGCCTGCGTGTTCTTGGGTCGCGGTGGTGTTAATTTTCTCTCAAATTAGTGACTAATAAATGTCATGTTTCCGCAAATCTATTATGTGCTCTATTTCTTCATTTTATATACTTATTTGTTTCTCAGAGTTCTTGCTGGTGTCACTACAAGAGTACAATAAAATTATCCAACATCCATAATATTAATACTAAAAGAATTTAAAATGCAAATTAATTCTAAAACTATTTGATGCTAACATTTAGTCCATGAACTTGAGAGTGTCCATCCATCGACCTCCAGAAGCTTGCCAAGGCAGTCCCATCTTTAACATCTTCTGAAAATCCATTACCATAGGGAGCAAGTCTAATACCCAAGGGGTATCCCATAGCATGAGCCATTACACAAACACCAACACTTCCTCCTGACCTCAGCCTCCCTTACTTCATAAAAGTAGGGAAACCAAAAATATTATCCACATGTGTACACATCAAGCAGGAAATTTCTGGCTGGAGATAGTTCAAATCATATATGGCTTCATGAGGCTTTAAGTGGCAGCCAGAAGCTGTGAGCAACCAATGCAGTCTATTTCTGACAGCTAATGACTAGAGGCCACTTCAGTTTGCACCTATTGTAGCTTTCAAGAGGCAGATCCGTGTACATGGGATACATTACTCTTGTGAGATATTCCATTCCAGATACAGCCACAGTTAGTGCAGCACCGAAGGCTGGATAAAGGCCCTACTGACCATGCCTTCCACCTGCCCATCTAGCAGTAGCTTTGAGTCCAGGAAGACCCACATGTGATAGTCCTGCCCATTAGCCGTGCTTCCCCGTGAAAAGATAATGCCAGAGATACCCAGTAGGCAAGTTGCCTCTCTCTCTTGCTTGGGTTAAACCCGATTCGCTCCACACAGACCCCAACAGCCTCCAGATAACAGGACAAGACTTTGTATCATGGGTTTAGCTCAGAAGGACATATTGCAATCGGGTATCACCAGTATAATAATGACACTGCATCTTGAAACAGCGGGTGCAGTTCTTCTAGGAGACTGGAAGCATGTTTCCCCATTTACACAATTTTATTAAAAGCTATAAGTTGAGGAGCTGCATCTCACTTCATCAATTGCAAAACTGATGCTGGATTAAAACTAAATTGGGGGCAGAGTGATAAAGATAGGTTGATTACCCAGATGCAAGCAACACAGGAGAACAATTAGAAATAACTTCCCCATTAACAATTATAATGTGTTAAAAATCAATTCTTTGAACCTTTTAACATATGTTGAGTTCAGCAATCTCTTGGTTAATTAATGGTCACTTTGAAATCTACAACAGGGAATCCTGGGGGGTTAAACTCTGACGCAGACTTCCAAGAGATCATTTTGGAAAAATGACCCTTTAATTGCATAATTGAAGAGATTGCTGAACCAACATATATCAAGATTTCAGGCTATCTCAAAAGGCCTCATAAGTTGGAATCTGGCAGAATGTTCATATTTTTCACATTGACATTTTAAACAACCGGGGCTTCCTTCCTTAATCTACAATCTACTTCACTGGAGATTCTTAGGTTACTGCTTTCAGAATCAAAATCCAACTCACTATACTAAGATTTTCCTGCTTCCCAACAGCATCCTGAGAACAGTAATTTTAGCTTTCTCCTTAGATTTTGGCCTCTTTCCTCCAAAATAAGTGATTTACAGCAGTGGTGGGTTTCAAATATTTTTACTACTGGTTCTGTGGGCGTGGCTTGGTGGGTGTGGCAGGGGAAGGATACTGTAAAATCTCCAGTCAGAGGTGGTATTTGCCGGTTCTCCGAACTACTCAAAATTTCCGCTATCAGTTCTCCAGAACTGGTCAGAACCTGCTGAATACCACCTCTGATTTACAGTCTCCCAAGGTCTCTCTGGTAGGCCACCTCTTCTGTCACCTGAGCACTACCAATATATTCAATTCTTTTCAACCAACATGCCTTATTTTTGTCCTCTATGATTACTTCTCATTGTCAGGCCTTTGATCCTTAATTAGCATTGAGGGTAATACAGTATACTTCACAATGACTATATTCCATTTGTAGCAGTTTCTCCTCATCATGATTAATGGGCGCAGTCATCATGTATCTATTTGTCTTAGCTTTGTCTTCCTTAAGGAGGTAAATATGCTTGCTGTAACAAAATAATTGAACAGAGGGATTAAAAGGGTCAAGCAAAAAGCAACAATTATTTCAGGTCAGTAAATTACATGGATACTAAATTTTGCCTTGCATTTTTAAGGGGCTTGTTGAGTCTAATTTATAATCCTCATATGACGATTGCAATAAATATTTTTGAATGATGAGCATAGGTAGAGATGTTACAAATGGTAGAAAAGGTGAGATTACACGATAACAGGAAAAATTAAAACTTCAATAAATAGGAGTGCTGAATTGACATAATCTTTGATATCCTATTGAACCTATTCTATAATATCAAACAAGTGGGAAGCAATAACAACTAAAGGTAAAAAACTCAAGAATCCTCATCAAAAACCAAGAGGATTAGATGATTGTTCTGAGTCATTTCCAACAGCTTTGGGAATAGATGAAAGACGACATTGTTTAATAATATTTGCAAAAATGGCTTATAAAATTCCTTTATGGCTTGTTCTCCCTTCAATATTGAAAGCATATTCCTAATTTAATGATAGTCTTTGATTCTCTTGAGGTTCTCTCATACCCTATTATTCATTAACACTTTATGCTGAAAAACTAAAATTGGAATTAAATTAGTATATATTCAGAGAAGGTGCAATTGCCAGATTAATTTGGTTTTAAAATCCATTTCTATTAACCTTGACAAAGGCTCAGATCTACTGATTCACCCTTGTCCCTTTTTTCTGCAATAAAAAATCAACAATTTTGCCATGTCAGTCATTAATACATGGTTTAAATGCTGTTTTAAAAATGCATTTTCACTGAAACTGATTTTAATCTTAACACAACACAGTTCTTCCCCAAAATAACAACCATTTCATTCAACAATTTATATATTTTATTTATATATATTTATTTCCTAAAACATAAATCGATCCCATTGTTAGGTCAAAAAGCACAAATATGCTCTATACAAAGTTCCTCCCATTCAAGCATGTTAGAGACTCTGCCTTTCATACAGATATAATTTAGAACATTTGCATTTAGTACATCTATACATAATATACAAAATTATTCGTATGTCCAGTTTATATAGGACTTATGAATGGGGCAAATAAAACCTTTGTGGTATATAAAAATTCAAAGAGCATGTGGTCAGATCCTGAGAATTACTTATTGGAATTATGTACTGACACACTTTTTTCTTTTGCATACTACATTCATGAAAAAATATACTATGTCCTATGAAAAAGTTTGAGATATTTTTAGTATGCTAATGAAGCACCATACTTCTTAATATGATAATGAAGCTATAAAACTAGTACCTTCCAAACTACTATCAGTTGGAAGATTTGTATCACTTTTGGTAAATTAATTAACACTTCAAACTTTAGTCAGAACAATAAAACCAGGGCTTTAAATATTGGTGATGCATCAAAGCCCTTTGATTTAAAATACTTAACATTTAAAAAATATACTGCTCTGTATTGTGGCATGTTTCACAGTCATTACTGCACATCTTACCACATTTTGGAAGTTGTGCATAGCAGCAATTTTAAAAAAAGAAAATATTAAAATGCAAGTCCACAGAATTTAGAAATTTAACATTTATACTCCAATGCTGTATTTGCTTCAAGTTACAGGAATCCCTTTTACTTAAAATATGTAATGAAACTAAATATTAACCTCAAATTTAAACCTTTTAAAACCAAAACTGCCCTCAATCAAATCTATTCTTCAAAGAACTTAATCAAGAGTAACTGCTTTTTTTTAAACAGTGGTTTCGCAAGATCTTGAAAGCATCCAACGGGACTTCAGAGTTTTCATGATGCAGTCTGTAATGGTATGAAGTTTCTCTTGCATTTCAAAGAGTTCGTTCCCTGAATAGTTTCGAAGTCTTTCAGAAGTAATTTGCTCAGCAAGTAGATTTACCTGAGCCCAAAGGTCTATTGCTGATGACTCACCCGTACTGGAGACCTCGGTTTCACATACGTCTAAAATGAAAGAAAACTGGTTTGTAAAGACATTCTAGGTGAGACCAAATTAAAGCCATTTCAGACGTAGATATCCTGTAACTCTTGCTCTTGTAACTAACTGTGTAACTATAGACCAGGACTGTCAAACTCCCGGCCCTTGGGCCAGATGCGTCACATGCTGGCCAGGCCCACGCCCAGTTTCGCAAAAGGGAAAAACATTCTGATACGTCACATGGCGCTGCTGTGAAGCTGTGAATTTGACACTCCTGCTATAGACAATTGACCCACTAACTGGAGAGATTTAGCCAGCAAAATAACTTAGTCTGGAATGCTAGCATATCAGAGCAAATAGCCTTTCTTTTTATGGTCTACCTCACAAAAGCTGGTTAGTGTTCTTGGAATGTACCACACACACACACACACACACACACACACACACACACACACACAATTAGCAATCAGGCCCTACAAGCTAATCACAAAGTTTTATCAATATTATTTTCAGATGAAATGTTACTACCGTGTTTCTCACAAAATAAGGGCCGGCCTTATTTTTTTTGACCCCCGAAAAAACGGGTAGCCCCGTTTTTGGGGATGGCGGCTGGGCGCTTCTCCCAGGGTGGGCTGATCCTGCGCTGCGGCCCCGGGAGATTCGCCTCTCCACGGGGTTGGGCTGCCCTCTCGGGCAGGGGAGGCTTTGTCGTAGTAGGGTGTCATTTTTAAAAGAATGGGCTTTGCCTTTGAACGATGCCCGGGAAGGCGGCGACAGGAGCACCTGAAACCGAGTGTCTCCGCCGGGCTCTGGTTGCAGGGAAGAGCCCTGGCTGGCCGCGCATGGCTGCACCAAACGCCACAGCGTTGCTCTAAACGACGCGGCAGCACAGGGAGAAGGGAAAGCAATGGTGGCGGAAGGTCTCCTGATACGAAGTGCCCCACCAACGCCGAGGTCAACGCAGGCAGCACCATATCCGGGTATGCAACAAAAGTACTTCCTAACGGCAAGCCCCCACCGCCATTCCCCCCATTTCACATGTTTAATATAGGCCTTAATTTGAGGGGAGGGGCTTAAATTTCATTTTATGCCTATAAAACATGCTGGGACTTCCTATTGGGGGAGGCCATATTGTTGGAGAAACACGGTATACTTGGGAATAATCAAAGGTCATGTATCAAGTGAATAAGTGTTTAGAAGAAAATGGTAACCAATTTGGCATACCTTGAGTGTGCATATGCTACTTTTCTGACGTTTTTGACCTTTAGTTCTGCTGTATGCCACTCAAAACTGTGTTAGAAGTCAGCAGCACAGAAATACCAACAATAAGTGTAGGAATACATACTTAAACATATATAAGAATCATATAACCAGATTAATTATCCAGAAGAAACAGAGGAAGAGAACAATAACAAGGATACTGCCATAAGCTACACAGCCACTCAGTTTCATCTGGGATTTGAATTGCTTAAAAGCATGCTTTCTTATGCTTTATATTAAATACAGCAAAACAGATTGCATAGGTTTAAGTGATACTTACCTGCATTTTCATTTGTGGAAAAAAATGTCTCATCCATAACACTGATTGATTTCTCTGTATCATCCAGGCCAGCATTTTCCTCCATTCCACGAGATTTTACCTGTAAGTATTAAGGTGGGAGAAGGGAAGAATACTGTTTAATCTACAGATGAAAAAGATAAAACTGTAAGTGTGGTTCTTTTGAATGGGCCACTGTAAAATTATACAAGCATCTTCTGCACTTGTAGGTTCTGCTCAGAACTGTCCTATGCTTAAAAGCAGTGCTTGGAACCTGATTTCTGTCATATAATACATTTTCCTAAGCACGGCCTCCACAAATATTCTTAGTTCCTGAAATCAAAATGGCAGTTCCCCAAGTTGACAGTTGCGTAGTAGTTAAAATACAGTATTGCAGGCAAACTCTGCCCATAGCCTGAGAGGACTTAAGGCTGACTCAGCATTCCATCCTTCCAAGGTCAGTAAAATGAGGATCCAGATTGTTGGGGATAATATGCAAGTAATGCTTCTACATTGTAAACTGCCCAGAGAAAGCACAATAGGGGTGGTATATAAGCCTAAATGCCATTGCTATTAACAGAATCAAAAAGTAAAATGTGTACATTGCATGAATTCAGATACCACTAGAAGAGTTGAATTCAGAAATATTAACAGTTTGTCTTCACCCTGAATCCCGTGTATATATGGATACTGGATTATTATCTGAATACCTAACTTCTAGAAGGTAACAGCCCTCTAGAAGAAAGTGATTAAGCCCATCAAAATATCTCAGGTAAAGGAATATGATTAAAATAAAATGGCTCACAAACACAGGTTTGAGGGTGAATGTGGGAAGGGGGAAAGGCAAATTAAACAGGATTAGGGGGTAAAGAACAGTTTAAAACTACTTGATCTCGTGCCACAATCAGATGGGTGAAAGTATCAATGAACTAATGAGGGGTATGGAACTTATTCCAAATTTAAGTCTTTCACTATACTGCTATTCAGTATATTCAGGATGGATGTTAGAAAAACCAGAAACAAAGATGTCCTCCTTACTTTTTTCCCACCATCCACAAACTACAAGTTCTAGATTATTTAAATCATTTATTTCTCCCACTGCTCTTCTCCGTGGAGAACCAACTTTTATTAAAGCAACTCTTCCACTTTTGCATATTTTAATTTAAAAGTACAAATAAGCTTACTTACCTGCTGCTCATGATAGCCTTTAAGAACCTTTCTAAGGTTTAAAACTCTAGGAGAGCGAATAGGAAGTGTTTTGATCTCAGCTGCGGTGAGAGAACTCAAGTCACCCACCGTTCTGATATTCTTTGCTCGAATCAGATGTCCTAACCCTCTTGTCCTAAAGGTACACAAAAGAAGGAGTTTTAATCTTATGTACCATGGAAAATATAACTTTACCATCTAGAAGTGTTTTTTAAACTTCAATACAGGTTCTAACCCAATGCAGCTTATATGTTTATGTGCCTATTGAGGTAGTATGTTTCCCTCAATCTCCTTATATATGAAACTTTTGCAAAAATAAGCAACACTAAATTACTACCCCAAAACACAATATTTCTGCTCAAACTATGTGTCCAAAAGGGCATTTTATCTTCTATCCCAATTTCAAAGATAGTCTTCTGGGTTAAAATAATTTTGTATCAATCAGAATGAATTTAAGATTAGGAAATATTCACATTGTACAGAGCAATCTTTTTTTAAAAACAAAAAACAAACAGCACCATTTGAATTTTTTGCTAATATAAACAAGAACGGGATGCACTATTTGTATAGACATTTTCTGTCTATACAAAATATATATTATTCAGCTGTATTTTCAACATGGTACATAACAATATACCATTGTTATGTTATACAACAAATATATAAAATATATTTCAATATACTGAAAAAGTACAACTTTATATTATTATGAACATTTTCAGATATATAATTTAACAATTACCCCAGAATCTATCAGCATGCAACGTACCCTTCAAATGTAGATTCCTGTCATCCAGTGCTTGCTCCTTTGATGCAGCTAGTGATTAACTTCAAATGAATACATTATTTTACCTGTTAGGAGCACTGCCTAAACGTATAAACATGCAACTTTTTCAGGACAGCCTGATTCAATGTTTTCCTACTTACCAAGTATTTGAAGTAATTTGAGGCAGAATTACGTCGACAGATGCTTTACAGCCCATCAGGGCAGGATATACGCTTTCTGTAGGTACTGGTGTTGGCTCCGTGCCCATTTCTGTGATCTTAAGTAAGACAGAAAATCATGAATTTGGATAAGTTTAAGAACTGAGCATGGGAGAAATTGAGATGAGGTACATAAAAGGGATACAAATCTTACTAAACACTTCTTTGAGGTCTTATATTTATGGCTACGGGTTCCAGGGGACAGAGATCCTTTGGTTGGAGTGGTTATAAGCTGGATAGGAAAAGAGGAAAAAATGTTGCTCAAGATCATAGGAATCATCTACAACCCTGTGATTCTTTTTAAAGCAAACAATTAAGATGGGGTCCTTTATTTAAGAAAAGGGCCAATGCATCAGGAGCATACTTCCAGAAGCAGTTAATACTTCTTCAACAAACTAGCTCAGCTAGGGAAAAAAACACTCACAAGGAAGATTCCTTACTGTTGAAATGACTTAAGGCATCTACAGAACGGGGTAATTCTTTCATTAACTGGAACAGACAAGAAATGTGTGACTAAGCTTTCTCCTACTGGGCTTCTGGTTCCTTCCATGACGAAATTGTAGAAAGAGCAGCTACACATGAAAACCAGTCAAGAATAACAATATGACCGAGTGATCATAACGTCTAATTCAAAAAGCAAAGGAGGGATGCCTAAGTCACATCAACAAGAAAGAACCTTCATTCCAATGTTCGTTTCCCAATTGATGTATGGAGACATCCATGTAATAGCAAATAGGAAAATCAACTCATGTTATGTCTTTTCACACCAACTGGGTGTAACTTAAAATTTTATTTTAGAGTTAACATCCCTACATGAAAAAAGGCCTTTCTGTATACACATGGGTACATTTGCTTCGCAACTACACATTTTCTTGCGTTATGTTGTACAATGTTCTGGAGGTTCTAAAGGCTTGCATAAAGTTAGATTTATGGAGTAGAAAATTGGATTTGCAGTAAAAGAAACCCTGGTGTATTGGGGTGTGTGTGTGTGTGTGTGTGTGTGTGTGTGTGTGTGTGTGTGTGTG